CTGAGAAAAGCTTAATTTTGAACTCAGCCTGAATATTTCACAGGGCATGCCTTGACAGATTTGTAGTTGCTATTGAAATTTTCTCTTCAAAATGTAGCTTTAGTGGATCAGTAAAATGATTCTTATATAATCAATACATTTAATGAGAATCTTCCTTTCCCTCTATTTAGGTATACTCTATCACTTAATATTAGTGAATCCTTAAATGTGTCCTCTTTTTCCCGTCAGACTATCTGTGAATACTGATACTGGATGCTGATGCTCCAGCAAATAGTAGCATTTGAAAGTCAAACACAGCATCATGAATGGAGTGTCACAAGGCTCACTACCCACACATAGAGCATTAGTTAGGGGCAATGGTGTTAGAATTCTTTCTCAATTGTGCTTGGGAGCCACATGGAGTTTTTTTGTGGTAGAGATCCCTATCATGGGAACTTCTATAAAATTCTGAGGTCAGTCTCTAGCTATCTGAAGAGCTGGTGTTAATTGACTCTCAGATGAGAGTTTTTACTCTCTGAAAAATCAGGGAATCTCAAAAGGGCTTGTGAAGCAGCCTGCTCAATAGTTAGATTTTGTGCCTATACACTGGATTAAATAGACATGGGAGGAAAAGCCCTATGGCTAATGCCAGGTTTGTAAGAATTTTACAATCCAGACAAATAATTAACTCTGCATATTGTGACAGTTATCTTTGACATTAACAACATTTAGAAACATTAGATGATTGAGAATTAGGATAATGTAGTAGAAAGAGTAATGCACTTGGAGTAAGGAGATACAGAAGATCAGAACCACTTTGAGTACGAGTTTTGTGACCATGAACAGGTGACTTAACCTCTCTGAGCTCTCAGTTTCCACATTGTATTTTTTTTGTTTGTTTGTTTTATTGATGCTCCTGGAAAAAACATCACTGTCACTTTTTAATGACAAACCCCCCCTCTTCCTATAAATCCTCTTATACAAGGGAGTACAGTTAAGCAAAACAAACCAATACATTGGACACGTCTATAAATGTACACCCCATTCTACATTTTATAACCTACCACCTTTGTGCCAGTAGGTATTTTATCATCTTTTTTAAAAAAAGCAGTTCACCTTTACACTAATCTCTTCTCCTGAATCCCTTGACCCCTGATTCAACTTCTGATCTTGCCCTTCCAAGCATGATCTCTGGATTACTCCAGCCCTCTGTTTCCTTCATTCCTACCCATGCACTGCTGAATGAAGCTGGAGGAAATCAAAGCCATGCTGATTAGATCTACTACAAATTTATGTTGCTCAACTGGGCCTTCACTGAAGCAAGATAGTCCTTTTACACTTCCCTAATTGATTTACTATTCCACAGTAAATTTTCCTGACCTTTTTATCCCTTCTCAAATTACCATAGGTTCCCCTGGTCCCATTCTCTTGGTTGAAAACTCATGTTCCATTGAAAAAAAATTGGCAGCCATTTGCCTCTTTTCCCTTTCTCATCTCACAACACTCAGACAAGTTTTGTTATTGTCTTTTCCTTCACCCCAGCTTAATAGGAAGACATGACCTTTCTCCTTGCCAAAGTTAACTTTTTTCCAAGCATGAGTAATCCTGTTGCATTTCATCTTTTCCAGCACATTTCCTCTTCTGCTATGCCTACTTCCTCACTAATCTTCAAGATCTCCCTGTCTACTGGCCGCTTTCCTAAATGCCTACAAATATGCCCACGTCTCTCCCATCTTCAAAAAAAATTCCTCAATTGATCTGTCCATCCATAATACCTATTTTATGACCACCTGGACTCAATTCTTCATCCTGACTCTTCCCAGTTGTGTGACCCTGGACAATGCACTTAACCTCCTCTCTAAGGTTTCTTCTGGCTCTAAATTTGTTATCCTATGGTCCTATGACCTAAAATAAGTTAGATATTTTATAAATAATTGATGGGAGATCATGGAAAAGAGTTGCAAATGACAGGAAAGACATGGATAGACTTTTTTTTGGTGACACCAGAAGAGGTGTCACATTTAAAAAAAAAATCACGGATTCACCAAGATTGAATTTTATGGTAGGCACTGGTCAGGCCTATATACATTAGAAGAGAAGAAACAGGTGTAGAGGAGCAGCTAAGAATTCAAGGGGGTGAAGTTGCTAAGCCATGTTGTCCAGAGAGTTTCAAAGAGGAAAATCACTAGCCAACAGAGCAGGTAGGATTATAATACACTGAAGGTTGGAGGATGCTGATGGACAACTCCTGTGTTCGTCTCCAGGTCTAGTGTGATAATGTACAAAGCTCTTGCCATATAGACAGATGAAGCATAGATTTCTGTTTTTTTGTTTGTTTATTTTGGTTCTTTTTTTATGCATAATAGAAGGCTTTGTACTGGTGACATGGTCTCTGGCATCCCACTGACATCAAGGCATATTCTTGCCTTCTCAGACCTGGAGGACTTTCCATTCAGTACTAGCCACACTTATTTCCATGGAAAAAGAAAGACAAAGGAAAGTCTTGAGACTTGACTGGACCAGAACCAGAACTACTATTACATATCCTTGTCCTATGTTTGTAACCTCAATTGTAAGGTAAGGGTATCTATAATTTTATAATCCTCTTGTTGCATTGGGTCATTATTTGTACTCGCTGGTTAAGATGGTTAAATTCTTAACTGAGGCTAAGATGGTGTCCAGCAGCATGACCCCTCAGGATAGTGAAAATGACTCCAAGGTTCAAGCAAGGAGAAATAGAGGGTGAAAGTCCATCTCCTTGCCTTCAGGGAGGCAGGGACACCAGTGTATGGCAGTGTATGGTACCACAAAATCAGCGTGTGGTTTTGGAAAATTCCACCAGTGGGATAGGATTGAAATGCCCTGCCATGCCTCACAGAAAGATCTGCTGGGAGCAGAAGAAAAAGAGGAAAGAAGACTATAGGCTAATATCTGAGGTTAGGCCAGTTGCTAGTAGCCCAGGTAGAAGACCTTTCCACCTCTATTTATGTCAAAGCAAGCATGATAAATTTAGATCAGGATGATCTTGTCAATAGTAATAGTGGTTGTTACCTATGCAAGAGTTATTAAGAAAAGGTTGTGTTAAGTATCTATAAGCAACAAAGGCTTTCAATATGATGGAAAATTAATTACTAGAAAACTATTCTGATTAAAAACTTATTGAAATTGCTTCAGTATTCAATTACGGAAATATAAAAGGAACAAAAATCTAAAGAACTCAAAAGGAGTAAAAAACCAAAAACTAACACTGAACCCTAGTACCCTTTGGCATAGATACATAAGAGGAAATACTAAGGGAAATTGTTGAATCTTCTGCTTTGAATGTTTCTAAGAAACAATAAATTCTCTTTAGACTGATATAATATAAATGTAGTCCTAGAAAAGGCAGGAGAACAAATTGAATGATCTGTTAATTAGTGTTCCTTTCATACTTAAAAGGTTCAGAGGTTATAAAGAAACTCAAATAAGAAGATATGAAACCTCATAAATGAGAACATCTTTTTTAGCATGTGTTATTTGATCATATATATGTTAAAATCAGAAAAGTTCCCCAAAGAACATTAAAATTAATGAGAGTTATTTGTCTTCCTGAAAGTGTGTGTATACATACATACACACGTATATTAGATTTGTTAGTAATGTTTTTCCTCTTATTTTTCTCTGGTTCAATGAAAGATAATTTTGCCTTTCTAAAATAGCAATTTCTTTCTTGAGAGATAAATATCTTACGTGGAATACTGCTGTATTCTTGAGTAATGACAAATTTCTCTACATATGTATATTACTCATTGATCTTTTAGGGCAACACTTGCAAAGAGAACTGTGAACCTGAAAAAATGAAATTCACATTGCAAATGAAATAACTTTTTAAAAGTTATTCACAGCAAGTGAGAAACCCAATTTTTACTTCATATAGTCTAATCTTAATTTTTGATGAAAGAATAGTAAAATCAAGTTTAAATGATTATAATTCTCAGTAATAATTTATTTAAATCAAACCATCTTTTCCCTAAATTTTCTGCAAAGGTTTCTGGAGATAGGAAACAAGCTCAGAATGATAAGGAATATGCCATTACAACTGGGATCAATTTTTAAAAAATAGCACTTGGCCCACTGAACATCTAGATATATTTGTAATTTTTAGGTTAAATGTTAGATTGATGCCAGTGAGCTGAAAACACATGACATTTACTTATCAGAATCAATAGTTGAATGAAAACTTCATACATATGCATATACAAATACATATACATACACACATATATTCACATATAGGGTAACTAGGTGGTACAGTAGATAAAATGCAGGGCCTGAAGTCAGGAAGACCTGATTTTACATCTGGCCTCATACATTTACTAGCTGTGTGACCCTGGGTAAGTTGCTTAACCCTCTTTGTCTCAGTTTCCTCATCTGTAAAATGAGCTTGAAAAGGAAATGACAAACCACTTCAGTATCTTTGCCAAGAAAACTCCAAATGGGGTCATGACTAAAACAACTGAACAACGACTATATATGTATATACATACACATACATATATATGTATGTTAGGCCACATAAATGAATGCTAGCCATTATTGCTGTTCCCAGTGTAATGTGATATCACGTAACATCAGGCTTTGCCAAGGTGGTTCTACTTTCTCAAGAGCTATGTCAATGGAGTATATGCTTTGTCAGATCCAGCATTTGAAAAAGCTTTAAGTATGGACTATATGTTCACTTTCTGAGGACTAGCTAAGGTTGGAGAGGCTCATCATCAGGTCACCGCATAAGGAGAGGGATTCTTTCACCACAACTCATTTTTCTTTGTCAACTCAAGCAATTTGCTTGGGGTTGTGATTTGCATCAATGAAGGGACTTCTACACCCGTGAAGTCACAGATCCTTGAAATATCCTTATTGTTCACAGGTATCCTAAACTCTGTACCAGAACTTATTCACCATCAGAACTGTAATATGTGTGTGTATGTGCATATGTGAACAGCTAACAAGCATACACTCTACAGTTAGAAGCAATAGATTACCTTTCTCTATTTCACTTTCAAAAGATAATTTCCTTCTCCGAAGTTTACAGTTCTCTCCATCAGAATCATTTGTAGATTGTGATCTTATTATGAGATCAGCCTTTATTAATAGAACAGAAAGATGGAATAGAAGATTAGATCAATTGAATGTAAATATCTTGCTATCACATTATTTTAACTTATAAGAATTTAAAAATTATTTCAGCTCAAAGGCAAATAACTATCATATATTGTTTAATGTTTTCTTTAAATCATGTTATTATTTTTGTCTAGATCTATCATTTCATCAGTGTAGGGAACCTCAAGTGTAGACACCCCTTCCACTGGCGCAAGTCAGCAAATAGTGTATAACTTTTAGTATGAAGAGTTTCCTGGGACACTGAGAGGTTAAGTGGCTTGCCTGTGATCGATTATATGTCAGAGTCCCAGAGGCCTGGAATCCGATTGTCCTTATTTCAAGGCTGGACTCTTAGCTCCTATGTCAGGCTGCCTCTCCTTTAGAGGACAGAATAGCATACTTCTAGTTACTTCATATTAACATTTGAAAGTGACATTGTGAGCTTTGGAAACAAAGCATTCTTTGGTGTAAATGGGCTTTATGAAGTGGTGCTTGGTTAAATTTAAAAAAATAATCTTTTTTTTTCAGAATTCACATTACATGTAGCAGAAATGTATTAACTATGTTGTTTACTTATGTGGTAATGATTGCAACGTTAAATTTCACAGTAACAAATATGTTTGCTAAATATGAGGGTTTTTGGTACCGTTTATTGTTCTCATTTCTAGCTATACCCTATCTCATCCATTGATTCATTTTAGTAAGATGTTAACAGAAACTTTGTGGGAAATAGTAGTTATTGATGGACACATCTATGAGAATAAAACTTTTGTTTGAAAAAAGATTTTAGATTTATCCTTATTTTCTAGGCAAAATTCAGAATGAATATAGTAGCATCAAGCAGTGACTCAATTCAGTAAATTAAATTTCTTATAAAGTACATACAATTCATAATTTCATCTTTTTATTCCTAAAAATTTCTTTGACTTTCAATTTCTTAAACAACAACAACAACAAAATCTTAGTGACTTACTGACCATGGGTACATTAAAAAGCATTGTGGCAGTTTTCAGAGAACCATCCACATATCTCCTTAAGCACATAGCATGGCCAGAGAATGATGGTAGTGTTAGGGAGAAAAAAATAAGCTACACTCATGGCTTTCTTAGTAGACTTTCCTTTCTGAAAAGTATCGAAAGCCTTGATTTTCTAAGTGGGGTCAGCTATTTTCAAAGCTTTCCACGAATTAAAGGGCACTGAGCAAAAATCGATTTCCTACTAATCCCAGAAGGCATCTCATAAGAGAAGACATTTCTTTTTGGCTTTATTCAGGTTAAAATGAGAAATTAGCCCATAAGGAGTAATCTTTTACAATTAGGAAATAGTGTAGCACTAAGTTGGCAAAAAATGGGGAGCATGGTATAATGTATGCCACCTCCCCCTCATTGCCTCCTACAAAAGGATATTAGCTCAAAGATTGATACTAATATAGAAGGAGGATATATGAGCCATATATGATACAGAATGTACAATATGAAATACAGATATAGTTACATAGCCTATAGTTACATAGAAAACATAGCTAACATTTTATTTCTACTAAGCTGTTGTACTTCCTAACATTCATTAGTTTAATCTCATTAATGTGTTCTCTTCCCATTTGGGAACTTTTGATCATTTGGTTAAAGTTTTAACTGAAGTTTTTCATAGCATTATTTATGGGGAAAGAATCAACATAGCACACAAGAACAAGATTCCAGGGAGAATTAAACTTGTACCTGAGATAAAATGTTTTCAGGCATCCTGCAGTACTGGGGAAAACATAACTGGCCCAACTCAAGTTACCTCAAAGTCATGAAACTGAATTTCTTGAACACAGTTTATAATTTAAACATTTCCCCAATTCAAGTAGCCTTTTCCAAAAAACAACTATGAGGAGAAGAAATAAGTAAAAAATAAAGCCAACTGCACATACCTTTGCATTTTCATGCCTTAGATTAAAAGTCAACTCTAGATTAGTCAGAAAGTGATCAGAAAATTCAGGATACATATCCAAAACCTCTAACAAGTCTTCTCGCTGGATCTTATGCAAGTCACAGTATGTTAAAGCTCTTACATCTGCATTCGATTTTCCAGGTTTTGCATAAAGATGAACCATTTCTCCAAATATGTCATTTTTCCCTGTTGAAAAAACAAAAGTTAGTTTTTCCTTTAGGAAATTGACTTAGATCACTGCAGTTCATAACTCCTCAGTTTAAGAGATTCCATTGCGGGCAGCTAGGTGGCACAGTGGATATAGTCAGGAGGACCTGAGTTCAAATCTGACCTCAGACCAAACACTTGACACTTACTAGCTGTGTGACCCTGGGCAAGTCACTTAACCCCAATTGCCTAAAAAAAAAAAAAGAGAGAGATTCCATTGGCCTCATCCTTTTGAGTAGATAATTCTATCATTTATTATCAAAGGTATGGTTTGAGAATATTTAGACAGGGAATCATAAAGTCTTAGAGTTAGAAGGGAACTCAAAGACCACCTGGTTTAACACAGATATGAACATGAATTTTTCTACAAATACCTGAAGTACTCATTTATTCTCTGAAGACTACCAGTGAAGAAAAATCCAAGCCTCTTTGCAACTTCCTTTTCTATCCAATCTTCTAAAAGTTAAAGAGTTGTCCTAAATAACTGTGCACAGAAATGGGATTCTCTGCCCAACTGCCCACTAGAGCAGCAAAGTGAAGGGACTTGTCTGATATCATTACTCCAAGAGGTATAAGAAAGATTGAGATAATTTCATTCCAAAATTCCTTCTTTCCTTCAATTTACACACTGTATGTTCTAACTATACTGACCTGCTCACTGTTCTACATGTACTGAGATGCTTGTAGGTGTTAATTGTTGTTGTTTAGTCATTTTAGCTGTTTTTTACTCTTTGTGACCCCATTTGGGGGTTTCTTGGCAAAGTTACTGGAGTTGTTTGCCATTTCCTTCCCTAGCTCATTTTTATAGATGAGGAAACTGAGGCAAACAGAGTTAAATGACTTGACTAAGGTCACATAACTAGTGTCTGAAAGCCAGATTTGAACTCAGGTGTCAACGGCCTCCTTCAGTCTCTTACTTCTCTGTTACAACTCAGCCCTACTTTCTCCTTTTCTTTTCATTACAAGGCCTCTTGCCCCTTTGCCTCTGAATCTTTCTGGGCCAGATCTTTTAAGTCATCTCCTTCCTCTCAGTCTCTAGATTTTGTTTCCGCATCTTTGTATAGGTTATGAGGTTCTTTATCAATACCTCCTGAAATCCCTTGCTTTCATCAAAGCTCAGCTCAGGTGACCCTTCTCTCTAGGAATTAATGTTCTCCTCTCCCCTTGAAATCGATTCATATTTACTCTTAGATATTTGTATTCACTCATCTATTTATCTGCTTACATATTCTATGTCCTCAGTAGAAATAAGCTCCATAAGAGCATTATAGTTTCCTTTTTTTTCTTTTTACTTTGAATCCCCAACATTCAGCTCAATGCCTTGTACACAGAGAGCCTTTAGTGAACACACTTGAATGAATGAATGAATGAATGAATGAATGAATGAATGAATTGGGAGGGCATGAACATTAGGAAGAAAAAGAAGTCAGAGTAGGGGTGATGGATTTGGAGAAAAATATGAAGTATGTAACAAAAATTGCTCCTTTGAACCTGATGCTGAACAGCAAAAGTTGCTAAATTTTCAATATCTAGAATCTTGGGGAAAACTGGCCATTATATCATAGAATGGAGGGGAAAGCTACTGTGACATGCACCCTATGTTTTGTGAGAGGATATTTCAAAGGGATCAGAGAATAGAGCAATGCCTTATTCTAAATTCCTACAGAAATTGGAGCTAGAATAGTAGAAAATTCTTAAGCAAGAGAATGAAAACCTGAAGACACAGAAAGAAATTATTTTGATGAGGAAGAAAAGGTGAAACTGTCTAAAGAGTGATTTGGCCACACAGTAAATTCAGAAGATTAAAAAAAATACACATATGTAAGATGAAAACAAGGATGAATTCAAAGGCATTGCATTCCTTTAAGAATAATAGCAGCAGCACTAACGCTCAGAATGAGGTGAGGCTGGTGATGAATGCTGAAAGTAGCTCAAAGGTCTTTTTATTTAGCTGTGTTGGAGGCAAGAGGAAGATCAAAATGGAAGGACCACTGCTCAGAGCAGAGGCGATGAGGAAAATTATTCTAAGAGATGGCCAGGAGAAGGCAGATATTTAGATCGGAAAGGATAGAATAGAAATGGAGCTGAAATTCAAGATGAATGAGAAGAGGATAACAGAGCACCTAGCCATTTTCAGTGAGTCTGAAGCAGTAGGCTCAGGCAAAGGACATCTTAGGATAATGAAAGAACTGAGGAATGTGGACATTAGGTATTGTCAGTGATCATTCAAAAGACTGTTGAAAATTGGAAGTGTGCTCTGAGACTTAGAAAGGGCAAATTTCTCCCTGATTTTCAAAAAAAATGAAGAATATAGAGACTAAAAATTATAAGACTGCAAATTTGACTTTAATTCTTCACATATTTCTACACTTTTTTTTTGAGATGGAGTTTCACTATCTCACTCAGGATGGAAGTAAAGTGGCCATTCATATCCCCAAAGATTGGCATGGGAGCTTTGATCTGCTCTGTTTTAGACCTGGGATGATTCATTCTTTCTTAGGCGGCATGACAGTTCCACACTCCTGGAGTTCACCATATTTGTGTTAGAGTTAGTGTAGACACCCAATTGACTTAGATCACTGCAGCTCAGAACTCCCTAGTTCAAGAGATCCCATTGGCCTCATCCTTTTGAGTAGATAATTCTATCATTTATTATCAAAGGTATGGTTTGAGAATATTTAGACAGAGAATCACAGAGTCTTAGAGTTAGAAGGGAACTCAGAGACCATTTGGTTCAGCACTTTGTCATTTGGTGCATTATTCCTTCTAGCTTTGTGACATCAGCAAATTTAATAGACATGTCTTTATCCAAGTCATTGATGAAAATGTTAAACAGCAAGGATCATGGACAGATATACTGGGGACACTTCATTAGAGACCTCCTTCTTCATTAACATTGAAAAAACATAATAACTATTTTTTGAATCCTGCCATTTAATTAATTTTGAATACATGTATCTGGATTATTGTTTAGCCCACATCTTTGCATCCTCTCCACAAGACTAGCATGAGAGATTTTGTCAAATGCTTGGTATAATACTAGGTGAACTATATTTATAGCATTCCCTAAAACTACTAGTTTAGTAATTCTGTCAAACAAATTGAGAAATTGTTATTCTGTCACAGTCTGTTATTTATGAAATCATATATATCACTGTGATCATCAATTTCTTTTTTAGATGACCACAGTCCCCCCTTTAACAATGCATTCTAGAATTTTCCCAGGGATCCAAGTTAAACCCACTTAGTCTGCAGAATCTGCTCTTTCCCCATTTTTGAAAATCAGGACAATATCTGTCCTTCTCTGATCCCTATGTATCTTGCAATTCTCTATGACTTTGACAACAATCATTGATATTATTATCAGTGTGCACATACTATAGGAACTAGAACATAGATAGTCTATTTATCACATGTGTAGAAGGCACAAAGTTGAGAGGGATGGCTAACATACTAGATGCTAAGGCTAGGATTAAAAAAAGATATCAACAGCTAGAATAATGGGTCATATTAGGTAAGATGAAATTCAATAAATTTTCCATACTTGGATTTTAAAAATCATCTGCACCAGGAAAATGGGAAAAGGAAAGGGAAAGGAACAAGCAATTTTAAGTGCCTACTGTGTTCCAGGTACTGTGCTAAGAGCTTTAACGATATCTCATTTAATCCTTACAACAATCCTGTGAGGGAGGTAATTATCATTTTTATTTTACACTTGAGAAAGCTGAGGCAGATAGCGGTTAAGTGACTTGTCCATGCTCACAGAGGAAGAAGTAGGAAGTGTGTGAAGTCAGATTTTATTTTAGGCCTTTCTGATTCCATGCCTGCTAACAGTACAGGAATTGGGACACATAGCTAAGTAAGAGTTTATGTGAAAAAAATCTGGGAGTCTTAGTAGACTGCAGACTCAATGAATTAATAGTGTGATATGGCAACTAAATTCTAGACTATATCAAATTAAACTTATTGTGCAGAATAAGAGAAGAGACAGTCTTGCTCTACTCTGCCCTGATCAGACCACATAAGGAACACTATCTTCAATTTGGGAGCTATATTTAAGGTGAGTATTGTGAGTGTTGAGCTAAGTAAGGATTGTGTTATCATACAATGTGGCTATTGTTTTAAACTCTACCCCTGATACTTACTAGCTGTGTGATCATGCATAAGATACTTAACCTCTCTGGGTGCTTTAGGCAACTCTCCAGGATTTATCTACTAAGTCATTGATAGGTCATATGACTGACATTGATGAAAACTACACCATCAAACATATTTCAGTATTCATCCTTGTCTTACTGATATGAAAGGGTCACAGGATCAGAGAATGTTAGAACTGGAAGGGACCTTCAAGATCATGAAATCATCTAGTCTAATACTTATTTACAGATAGGAAAATCAAGGCTTAGAATGGTGACCTGGCCTAAAGCTACATGGCCAGTAACAAGTAGAGGGAGAGCTAATGCTTGGGTCTTCTGATTATAATCGAAATATTTTTTAAACTTTACAATATTTCTTTATTGAAAATCTGTGAATTATGCACTCATATTTAAGGGGAACTGAATTGTCAACGTAATAAATAATAGAAATGTTAAGCTCTAACAGCTTTCAAAGAAGAAGGATGTTTTAAATGTATTGTTAAAAACAATTATTATTATTTCCTTTGGGAAAAGTGGCAATGGGAGAAGAACTTCCAGGTACCCTGGATGCTTTCCTCCTCCTCCAGAACAGAGAGGAAAGGAGATGGGCAAATTTGCTGTTTTCTGGGATTCCCACTCCTGTAAATGAAAGGTAGAAGGAGAGGAAGACTAGCTTCATCTACTTCTCTGTTGCCTTGAATACAATAATTTATGTTGTTATACATGATAAAACACTTATTAAATACCAAGTGTGTACCAGGCACTGAGAAATAGATACAACACAGGCCCTGATATTAAGAAGCTTACAGTCTAAGGGGAAGTTTGTTAGGGTAGAGAAGGACAAAGTCACAGTTTTTTGAAGAATTTTGTTCAGATAAAGTGCTAAGATAAGAGCTATGGTTCTAGTAAGACTTTTCATATAAAAATGTGTTAAAGTTGGTATTAGCTAAAATTAAATTAACTTTTAGGGATAACAGATATTACCTCTTATTCATACTCTCAATCAGCTGATATTTTAGGTTTAAAAAAAATTATCTCATTATCTTTTCATCTCTCTTCCCCAGGTGTGATGTACACAACTTTACATAGACACAGTCAGGTAATAAAGCTTACAAAGACACAGCCCTGCCCAGGTTACTAAGCCCTTTTCTCCTTATTTGGGAATTGGGAGATGTGGGGCAACACAAGACACCAAGCCCAGAGAGATCCAAGTCTGTCAAGCTATGAAATGGCCATGATAGTGCCACGCACATGTTTATCTTTTTTTTTTCTTTTTTGGGAATTGGGGTTAAGTGACTTGCCCAGGGTCACACAGCTAGTAAGTTTCAAGTGTTTGGTCTGAGGCCGGATTTGAACTCAGGTCCTCCTGACTTGAGGGTTGGTACTCTGTCCACTGTACCACCTAGCTGCCCCCATGCTTTTTATCTTAATGACTTACAGGAACAACTGGGAATACAAAAACTGCAAACATCAAGATAAAATGCTGATGAAAGACCATTCCCATACTTTGGCCTCACACACATAATTAGCTGTGAAGAATAAGATAGTGCCACAAAACTTTTATATCAGCAGAACACACACAGGAAGAAAGCCTGACGTGAGAACTTGGAAGAGTCTAAAATGAATTCAATGAAGTGTTCAAATTACTCAGAATTAAAATAGTAATCATAAATGTGGACCAGTTCTTAAAAATCATGGCCAGGAAGTTTTATATATAAACTGTGAAATAATTTGGCAAAGAATTGACTTCCTCACCCTCCCGTTCTAAGACACTTACCCAGAATAGCCACGACAATGTCATCTTTGAGGATTTCAATGGAGCCTCTGGATAGGAAGTAAAGTGCAGTGAGGACATCCCCACAGTGAACTAGGGTGTCTCCTGGAGGTGCATGTGTTGTCTTAAACTTCATAGCCAAAGCTCGGAGGCAACCTTTACTGGCCCCCCGAAAAGCTTTGCAGTTCTGAAGTAAAGTCTGGTTGAGATGCAGGCAAATGTCAGCTTGTAGACACTCTGGAAACCCCTTTAGGACCTGAGAGGGGAAAATGTAAAAAGTTTCATACTACCAGTATAGACTGTCTTGATCTGCACAAAACATAATCCTTGCCCAACTGGACATATAGGTGTAACAATAGTGTCAACTGGGAGGTTGTTAGGAATTTCTTTACTTTGCTGTGGGTAAGGAATATTTAGTTTTCGGAATGTGTAATAATTCTCGCTCAAATATCTGTTCCCTGAATTAATTTCAGGCATTCAGACCGTCTCATTAACACAAATGTCTCATTAAGCTATAGTGCCTACAAAGCTTTACTGTCCTTCATTTCTTGTGATGTCATATAGCATCACACTCTACACAAATATAATAGAATGTAACAGTTAATCAGATGTAACTAATGAAAGGCAATACAACCAGAAAAGTAATCACCTTTCAGAAGGCATCCTAAGTGTCAATTTGGACTGCTATTGCAGATCCATATATTAATTATAATTAACAGAAGTTTTGCTCTGGAAATAGCCTTGGTATTTGTAAATGTCATATACTGCACAGAGTTCAGAGCAGTACCCAGAATATTTATGAGTTGGTTTGCACATTGTTAATATTAAGTATTTGAATAGCATTAAAAACAGAGAAAGGGAAGGAGGAAAGGAAGCATGCTTTGAAATTCTGAGTGTGGGTTAGTTTTCGAAAATGGATACTATGCCATCATTAATAATGCATGTATAATGTAGGTTGGGTGCTAAAGCATTGCTATTCACTTTGTAGTTAATGGTAACTAGGAGGGACAGATCAAACATTACATTTGGACAAATATGACTTGATTCATACTGAGTCAAATTTTGTAGTTTGCAAAAATAGAAGTTATCAAATTCCTACAAAACAGAACTAACTTCTAGCCAACTCCTGATTATCTGTTCATATGTTATCTACCTTGCAACTTGTTGGCTGAAAAATTAAATTTGTGTCAATTTCCCTGACAGTGAGTATGAGTTGCTGCCTCCTGCTCTCAGCATTTATTTGTGTGTGTGTGTGTGTGTGTGTGTGTGTGTGTGTGTGTACATATATATGTAAATACATATATATGTAATTGGTGATTACAAAACTATTATTAAAGCTAGGTTATATAGAACCAGGTTATGAAGTGAAAAATGCTGGAAAAAATATAAGACGAGTAATCTAATGCAGGAGGAGAAGATTGGCTTTTGGGGTTTGGGGGCAAATTACCTGGTTGTTGGTTTTTCTTTTTCTTTTTCTTTTTGTTGACACTGCCCTTGTGTTACTGCAGATAATCATGAGTTGACTGTATAATCAATTCATATGAGTTATATGTTTGTCAATCTATCAATAACAGTATTTAGATAAATTTTATATGAGGCACTATTTTAATTAAATTTTAAAGAAATCTTTGAGATGTAAGAGAGGCCATTTTTACATGAAACCACTGAATTGAACAGGTTTGGGCTGGTTCCTTTTTGGAGGGTGGAGCATCTGACTGGCTGAGCTGAGATTCAAATTGGCCAGACAGCTGAAATCAACTTTTTTTTTGACTTGGTAGATTTTCAGCTTTCAAAATTGAAGCACTGATAAAAAGTAGTACAGATAAGTTGAATATAAAATTTCTGATTGATATTGTCAATATATTCTATTTTCACTGTCATTTATTTTCCCAGAAAGTAGTTTAGGTTCATTGCTTACTCAGGGCTCTGCGTTTCAGTTTCTCCATCAGTAAAATGAAAATAAGTCCTAACTTAGTTAACCAAAGCTTACTGTGCACATGACTCTGTATTATGTGCTAAATGCAATGGGCCCAGTCTTGGAGAAAATGGTGGCCATAAAAGTACAAAATTATGTGTTAGGTGTTATGACTCTAGGTATGGGTTATTTGACTACACAGGCTCAAGAGGAGAAGAGAAGGAATTACTAGTGATTTGATAGTGTGACTACCCCATCGTAAGACAGGGATAAATATAAGATATTCTGCAGCGGGGAAAATTGCACTTCCTTTTTCTTATAGCCAGTGGCAATCTTACTCAAGCTTGTGAGGTAGGTGAAATATGTCTTTGGAACCCTTTCTAGGTCCCTTTCCCTTTACCTCTCTAGCACTCAGTCAAGCTGACTTGTTTTCTGGTGTGTATCTAATAAACTCATTCACACTAAAGTAGGAGTGATGACTAGGGCTTAAAATTTTGTCCTTCTAAGTGTTTGCATGTCAACAGGGAAGAAAAGGAAAAAGCCTTAAACTAAATATTAGAAGTAGAAATGGCAGAATTTTAGGAACTCATGCATAGAAGGAAAAGAATTGTTGAATACATAATCCCATGTCATTCTCATAGCAGTTTGAGTTAGGCAGGACAGATCTTATTATTCCTATTTTACAGACAAGGAAACTGAGTTTTAGGGACTTGACCAAAGTAAGGAAGTAGTGGAACTGGGCTTAGAACCTGTCTTAGAGCACTTACTCTAGTTCTTTTGCCACTACATCATATTGTGGAAGGAGCAGGGATGAGAAGAGGGGGTGGGATGTTGTGAAGGGAGCAGATGTAAGGAGATGATTCCTAATTCTTCACCATATAGAAAAGTAGTCAAACAAAATACCTTTAAAAGCATATCTTGATTTGGGCATTATTAGATGTGTTCCTGAAAAGCTACAGTATGTACAAATCACTTTGGCAGCTTAAATCACATTTCATGAATACTAGAGAAAGTATTAATGGGATTTTATGGTATGCTTTTTTGTAATGCAAATGACAACCCCTAAATTTGTTTTGTAAGTTTGGATTTTCATTTGTTTTTCTTTGCCCTGAACCTACGACACACTGGAAAGAAAACAACTTTTAAATTACTATCAATAACAATGATGACTAAAACCCCAGGCCGGCAAGAAGGAAGTGTTTTACTTAAGATAAATTACAAGAGAGGAATTCATTCTTTTCCTTCCTTCTTTTTTTTTCTTTCTTTCTTTCTTTCTTTCTTTCTTTCTTTCTTTCTTTCTTTCTTTCTCCTTTTTTTTGTATTTCTCTAGAAATAAGTTATTGACTTGAAAGGCACTAAATATTGTACCCATAATGCCTTTAAACAATTAAAAAAAACTGCAGCTAACTGATCTCAAATGCCGTTTAGGGGGATCAGGACATCTTGAGACCACAATCTTTTTGAATTTTATGACTGTACCTTTTCATACTAATGAGGAAAATAGTCTTGCTCTTCCTAGCTGAACCTGCTGGCCCTTATACCAAATCTCCAAGAATGCCTAGGCCAATCCTACTTTGTTACGTCCCTTTAAAGTAGATTTTTGTTTCACATCTAATGAGGAGCTAGATATTTTATTTATTACCTAATGGAGACAGAAGGATTCCCAGGATATTGACATAAAGGCCATGTTTACACATGGGAGGGATGTTGTAACATTTGTTTCAAACAATCTTTTCCTAGCCTTTATCCTTATTAACATAGCTCAAAGGAAACTTATGAACTAAAAAACGTAAGTTACATACGCTGAACTAGTTTGATTGAGCACAATAGCCTACATGTCTCAATCAACCTGTCAGTTTAAAAATTCTCAACCTGGAGTTCTTCTGCTAAATTTCAGATAGAGTTTAGTGAAATAAAAACATAATTTTTTCCCATTCAAGTTTATGGACCCCATGAAATTTATTCATGGATCCTAGATTAAGAATTCCTCTCCTAGACTACTAAAACACAGAATTTTTCTAAGAAAGAAGTGGGACAAAAAATTAGAGAAAAGTTGGAGATAAATAGAAGAGTGGGGTAAGGAGATAGGAAGTACATTTGACATTAAACCCTAACCTTAAAAAAGATCAAAGAAAGAGAACCCTGAAATATTTAATTCAAGTAATTGACATTTTCTCAGGTGTCTAGCTCCTTTCTTGCTGCCACCTTCCCTATTTTCAGGTTCATTTTCTTTGCTGAAATCCCCTGATTAGCCCTAGTTATATAATAAATTTTCTCCAGGGATGAGCAGTAGAAATCAAAGGTAGATTTTTTTTTTTTGGCATAAGAACATATACCAATACCTTAATACTGTCACTGCATTTCAGCTTAAATCAGAGGTGTGAAACACAAGGCCTGTGGGCCACATGTGGGACTGAACCAGATTACAATGTAATTGGGAAATATTTAGCAAAATAAATAAAAATATGGTAAAACATAAATAACATTTAAAACTAAGTCAATATATGGCCTGCAGGGATGCTTATGTATGAATTAGTGGCTTCAGTTTCTATTTGAATTTGCTACCACGCCTCCAAATATCCCCCCCCCCCTTTTTTAAAATATCAGTCCATTCTGCCTAAATGCCTTGCTGGACCAAGGAAAAGGAAAATGATGGCTACATTTACTTGTCTGCTGCAAAAGAAACAGCCTTAGTCTCAAGTTTTCTTTTATCTTCCCTAATTAATGTAATGAAAATCTTTAAGAGAAATAATGTTCTATTTTCCAAATGGGAAAATTTAAACAAAAGGCTTTTAGTAGCTGCTTTACACATAGATAATAAATATATAATCCCTTTAAAATTTTGTTTGTTTTGTCTAGACCTGTCATTTCGCTGATATAAGACACTCCCACTGTAGAAATTCCCTCTACTCACACAGATGAGCTGCTACTTGGTAACTCAGAGTTTAAGAAAGCTGCCTAGGCTGGGGGCATGGGGAGGGTAAATGGCTTGCCCAGAGTCACAAAGTGAGGACTTCCTGACTCTACTGCTGTCCCTCCTTACAGTGTTATGATGCCTTTCAATCTTAGAAGAACAACAATCAAAACATTTTCAGAGCTATTAACATTTGCAAGGCACATCATCTCATTTTATAAGATATTCCCAAACTCCCAACAGGGTGAAACTCCCATAGACTTGACTTACAAAGTAAAGTTCTTTCAGTTCATTTATTTTGTGTTCCACTAAGTTGGTTGGGGCAGGTGGCTAAACATTGTTAAAAGCCCAGGGAATTTTTGGTATATATTTATAAGCCTGGCAAAACTTCTCTATATCTCCATATGTTAAACACACAGACAGACAT